CGTGGATACCTGTTAGACCAATCACAGTGTTCCTTATACCTCCAGACCCCGCCCCTCTCCCCCTTTACTCTTTCCTTTAGTCCTCCAGGTTCTACCCAGTTTAAATCGTCTGTTTGAAACAACGTTTGCAGATGGAGTGTAGGTGTTTAGTCCCACTAGAGAAGAGAAGATACATGCTTTTTGTTGCTGATAATGGTAGACAGTGTTTCAAAGGTCATCTGGACACTGTTTCTGAAATCAAGACTCAGATCCCATCAGAAAATATCTGCTATATTTACATGAGAGCTTTAATTTCGAGTAAAAATGTATTCCGCTTTAAATAATCCATGTAAACACTTAATACTTGATGAAAATGATTACTCAGAATTAAACTTAATTCCAAAGTAAGTGGGTGGTTTATTCCGATTTTAAAGCTGAATTAATTTATTCTTAGCCCGATTCATCAGCCGGTTTCACTTCATAGAAACCGTCTGATCTCGCAGCATTAGAATTCATTCGCTTGACCGTAGACGGATACTTTTTTATTTAACCAATCGCTGCTATTCGGTCGTGACGTATGTAATGCACCACTAACAGGACTAACTGGTATATTAAGCTTTTCCCAAATCCCGCAGGAAGAAGGACAATAACGTCTTTCCCCTTGATGAAATTCACCAAACATTCTCTTTGTTCCACCTTTAAATCCTCGAGCTCGGGAATCGTTGCCAACACAGAATATATGGCTCTTCACTGATTGGCTGGTGCCCGGATGTGTACTTCTGGGGTTCTTGCAAGCCGTCTAGTGTATTCTGATTCCTGACCTAGGCTGGAGAGAAATGAAATTGAGCAGATACACTAGGATCTTCCTGGATCATGTAAACGTTTATTCTTCTTAAAAATAATGTCGGTGGTTTAACACATGCTCGTTGTGTCGTCCTTCTGACGTGATCTGGATGATCCGGCTCCACCAGTCCTGTCTTCAGACTTTCCTCCACGTCTCTTTGGATTTGTGAGCGGGATGTGGGAGTGGGCTGAGGTAGAGCAGCCTCACACTCACTTTGTCTTCTTCCTCCTTCTCCGACACTCTTCCCTTCTCCTCCTCAGCTCACAGACGTAAAGTGTGATGAGACAATTCTCCAGCTGCTGCACAATTATCATCAGAACCACTGCGGAAAAAGTTTGGATTATGTTTGTGTCCGTGGAGTAACAACAAACCGAGATGACAGAAAAGCCGGCAGCAGCTGAAGTGTGTGTTTTCTTCTGGTCGACGTAAATACCTTTGTGTTCCTGTCCAATCAGAACCTTCCCCACCCCCAGACGCTGAGCAGAATTAAATAAAGACGATTTAACTTGTTTTCCATGTAAACCTCAATTCAGAATTAATATTTCCACATAAACCTGAAGAATATTTTAATTCAGAACAATTAATTCAGAATTAAAAAACAGCATGTAAACGTGGCTATTTTCAGTCTGATAGTTTTGTCAGATGACCTTTGAAACCTTATGTACCTTGCGCCACTCCTGGACGAATGAGGTATTACACCAACTTGTTTGTGGTAATGGTAACAAAACTGAAACTGTAAAAAGAAAATTGCGCAAATAGCTGAAACAGTTAAATTTGTGATTAATTTAAAGTGCAGTTTCAGTGTACTTTTATTTAATCACAAATTAAACCGTGTCAACATTAAAGTTCCCATGTGACACTATTTTCTGATCAGTGTTCAAATGTAGTTTCCTCACCACAAACAGACCTGGACTTGTGTTTTGTTTTATTCACACATGTTTAGTTGCATATTTAGTTCTTTTCTCAAACGGAAAACACCCTGTTCCACCTTGTGATGTCATGTGGTGATACAGGAAGTGCTCCACTGTGTTCTTAAACTCCACTTTCACTAGAACCATTTGGATGTTTTCAGCTCTGGAATTGCCAATCTCTCATCTCTGAACTAAAGGTAAAAGGAGCCGTTCACTTGAAAACGACCACTGCATGATGTCCTAAAGTGGAACAGAGCATTTTGAACTGTGGAGATGTAGACAGAATAATAATTAAGTGTGAATGAAACAAAACACAAGTCCGCAAATGTTTTTGAGGAGGTAACAACATTATAACATGGTAAACGCTGAAAGAGTCAATTTTGCATAATTTAGGAATTTAAATTTTAATCTGGAGAAATTTGATTCAAAATCTGATCAGTTGCACGTACAAAAATAAGGAACTCTAAAATTACTGATTTGCTATTAGATAAATCAGTGCAAGTGCCAACACATGAGCCCGTTGTTTTCAAATATGACTTGACTTTATACACGTTTTTAAACATGGTCGTCCATCTTTTACGCGTCAGTTCTATGAATGTGAGAGCCTGCTGTTCCCATGGCTTACCTGCATGAAGTTTTTGCAATTTTATTTTATTTTTTTACTTTAGTTAAACGCAGCCATACAGACGTTGATGAATTCCTGCCTTACATTTGCTTCCACTGAGTTGTATTTAACCTGCGTCCTTGTTGATGTTACTGTTACTGAGCAGAGCGAATGACGACTGAGAGTTGCCATGGAGATGTGAAAATAAATTTGTTTAACACTGTCTCACCATGCCTCATTTTCGTCACTTTTTGACTTAGTTATTAAAGGTCCCGTACTGGATTTTTTGTATTGTATCAGCAGGTCTCGAGGTTTTACTCTCCTGTAATTGTGTAGTTAGCATGCTAGTTGTTTCTAGTATTACCATGAAGGCGAAAGTCCTCTCTGGTCACGTGAAAAGCACTTCACATATCTTCATTGCAAACTGTTAAAAATGATAAAAAGTAGTTTGATTTAATGTAAAATCTCTGGAATTCTAGTCATTGGTTTAATTTCTGAAATGTGGAACTTTTTGCAACTCAAATTATTTTGTCAAAACTGATCCGAAATGTCAAAAAATATGCTACTTATTTGTGATTAACGATGCATGATGTAACTTTTCTAGTGGAGGTCAGAGAGCTGCTTGGAGATGTTATTGCTTTGCCTGAAATGTTCCTAAGTATGGCATTAAACTTTAATCTGTATAGATGCACTGTTTTGTTCAAAAATACCTTGTGAGACAGGCCTTCTTACTGTCGCCTCTCCACAGATATGACTGGGAACTAGTCCTGTTGAAGTAGCCTGTTTGTCTCCATGGAGGATAGATTTAGGTTTAATGCCATAAAGTGGAATATACCAAGAAAAGCAATAACAGTGCTGACTCCACCAGAAAAGTTACATTGTGCACCTTAATGAGTCTGTCTGCTGCATTTGACCCATCCTTTTGTGTCTCTGGGTTAAACCTCCATTTGACCCATCCTTCAGTGTTAAACCTGCATTTGACCCATCCTTCAGTGTTAAACCTGCATTTGACCCACCCTTTTGTGTCTCTGGGTTAAACTTGCATTTGATCCATCCTTCAGTGTCTCTGGGTTAAACCTGCATTTGACTCATTCTTCAGTGTCTCTGGGTTAAACCTGCATTTGACTCATTCTTCAGTGTCTCTGGGTTAAACCTGCATTTGACCCATCCTTCAGTGTTAAACCTGCATTTGACCCATCCTTCAGTGTCTCTGGGTTAAACTTGCATTTGACTCATTCTTCAGTGTCTCTGGGTTAAACCAGCATTTCACCCATCCTTCAGTGTTAAACCTGCATTTGACCCGTCCTCCAATGTCTCTTGGTTAAACCTGCATTTGACCCATCCTTCAGTGTCTCTGGGTTAAACCTGCATTTGACCCATCCTTCAATGTCTTTAAATTAAACCTACATTTGAATCATATTTCAGTGTCTCCAAATTAAATCTGCATTTGACCCATCATTCAGTGCCAATCCTGCATTTGACTCATTCTTCAGGCTCTGACTTAAACCTGCATTTGACCCATCCTTCAGTGCCCTTGGGTTAAACCTGCATTTGACCCACCCTTCAGTGTCACATCTGCATCCGACTCATTCACTGTTTCGTTGTTAAACCTGTAATCGACTCATCCTTCAGTGCCTCTACATTTGACCCATCCTTCTGTGTCTCTGGGTTAAACCTGTATTTTACCCATCATTCAGTGTTAAACCTGCATTTGACTTATTCTTCAGTGTCTCCAAATTAAATCTGCATTTGACCCATCATTCAGTGCCAATCCTGCATTTGACTTGTTCTTCAGTGTCTCTGGGTTAAACCTGCATTTGACCCATCCTTCATTGTTAAACCTGCATTTGACTCAGTCACTGTCTCTGGATTAAACCTCCAACCTCTGGGTTAAACCCATCCTTCAATGTCTCTAAATTAAACCTACATTTGAATCATATTTCAGTGTCTCCAAATTAAATCTGCATTTGACCCATCATTCAGTGCCAATCCTGCATTTGACTCATTCTTCAGGCTCTGACTTAATCCTGCATTTGACCCATCCTTCAGTCTCTTTGTTAAACCTACATTTGATCCATCCTTCAGTGTCTCTACATTTGACCCATCCTTCAGTGTCTGAGTTAAACCTGCATTTGACCCATCCTTCAGTGCACTTGTGTTAAACCTGCATTTGACTCATTCACTGTTTCGTTGTTAAACCTGTAATCAACTCATCCTTCATTGCCTCTACATTTAACCCATCCTTCCGTGTCTCTAAATTAAACTTACATTTGACTCATTTCAGTGTCTCTAAATTAAATCTGCATTTGACCCATCATTTAGTGCTATTCCTGCATTTGACTCATTCTTTGGGCTCTGAGTTTAACTTGCATTTGACCCAACCTTCGGTGTCTCTGGGTTAAACCTACATTTGATCCATCCTTCAGTGTCTCTAAATGAAACCTACATTTGACCCATCCTTCATTGTTAGTGGGACACATTTGCAGATCTTGAGCTCGTCTTGGTCAGGACTACCTCAGATAGAGGATTTGACCCATGTTTTGGGTTGATGGAGGCGCCCAGAGGAAACCCACTCACACGTGTATGAACAGTTTACAGAAAGACATGCTCAGTTTTAATGTATGGATCTTATTTATTTCCATAACAAGGACAATTCACAGGTTTTGCTTTGCTGTAAAGATTTAAATAATGAAATATGACAAGTTGAACCCAATGACGTAACTTCAGAAGCAATTTGTTAATCATTTTCGATACTGACTGTTCAGAGTATCCACCTTCGCATTTGTATAAACGCCAAAATCTGAATGCATTTTGCCATATTAAGCTTTTACGGTGAATTCACAACATTCTAGAGTTTGTTGAAATTCCGATGGAGGACAGGGGCCAGTGTAACTTTTTATGGGAGATTTTTGCAAGAAATATAAAAAATTATGATCCACAAATGTTGGACCTCATCATTATATGTTATGGATCAGCTAACAAATCGACATATTTCCAAATAGAGCCGTAGAATTCTGACCTGTCCTCCAGCTCAATGTTAAACTGTGGACTTTTTATCATGTTGTGACGTCACCTGAACCCATTCTACACTCCCAGCAGGTCTGAATCACTGAACCCCCCTTCCACTGGAGCACCGGGGGGTGTGGCTTCAGCGGCAGAGCTCCCAGCGTGCACCGGGTGAAACGGTTTCCATGGTTTGGAGGGGCAGTGGAAGGGGGCATCATCTGGGGAGACGGTGGGCTTGGCCAGGTCCTCCTCAGATGACTCCTCTTTGCCTGAGGGTTTGGCTTCTTTGGTTTTGCGGGGAGGATCAGTCGGGGCGGCGTTGTGGGGAGCGGGAGAAGTGAACTCAAGCAGCATGTTTCTCAGGGGAGACCAGCCAGGAGGGCGGCGCCGCATGACCTGAGAGGGACAAGAGAAGGAGTCTAGGGTAATTTTAGTCCTCATGTGGATTTGGGTTGGTCCCGATTTAGTCCAGGTTTAGTTTGGGGTTTAGTCCTGGTTTGTGAATGCACCCTACAAGAAACATTCATCTTAAATCACACTTTTACAGATGCTCTCTTTACAGTTTTGTGCATTATTCATTCACTCCACACTCAGCAGACTGAGTGAGGGTCCAAACTGCAGCATTGGCCCCTCCGACAACCAGCACTCACGCACACCGCATTCATACTAGGCAATGTTGGCAAAGTGTCTTGCCTAAAGACACAACAACTGCTTCTCCACTGTGGCACCTTGTTTCCCAGCAGTCTACCATCCTAGTACTAATCAGGTCAAGCACTGCTTAGCTTCTGAAATCTGATGAGATCAGGGTTTGACAGGGAGGTTTGGCCAGTCCCAGTTTAGTCCTGGTCTATAGCCAAGGTTTAGTCTAGTTCCACATGAAGACAGACCTGGTTCACCTCAACGACAAGATGTACTACACAAAGACTATCACCACAGACGACTCTCGCCTTTAGCTTTACAGTCGGAACAAAATAGAAATAAAAAAATACAGATCTCACTGAGGGCATTGGTCCCGGCTCACACTCCAGATGAACATTGGGCACTTCCTGTCTCCATGGAGCCATATCCACAGTGGAGTTACAGTTTACAAAATCCTGCAGAACAAACAGATATATTTAAATACATGGAGACAGTTTCCATGGTGATGTGATGAGCCCCATGTGTTACAAGACATTTACTATGTTCTCATCGTCGATTGTGCAGTGGTGGTGGAGCTCCGCATGCTTCTCTTTGGCACACTTGGACCTCCTCATGTCGAACCTGAACTTAAAACGAAAACCTGCCACCACCTGAAAACAAGAGAGACACATAAATGGACACAGAAAGAACCTGTGGCAGCAGGAGAACACAACTGCAACATCACTATGTATTTTGTTTGTTTGTTTCTTTGTTTGTTTGTTGAGAATACAGTGAGGTCTGGGTTGGCAGTAGTTACTGTTATGTTGCTTTTGTTGTACTCCACACTCAGTAATGGTCTCTCTCTGGTCACAGCTGCCCTGGGGCAGACTCAGAAACACAGCTGAGTTGAGTTTGTGAACAGTTGCCAACATTCTGGTGAGTAAACAAACTTCCTATATCCATTTTTATTTTTCTTTAAAGTACAAACAGATCTAAGGGGTTTTATGTTATTTATGTTGCATAATTATTTGTATATTTGGTCAGGCGTGATAATGTGTATGTTTATCAGTGTAGAGCATGTTACTTTGAAAAAGTAATTAGTTATAGTTACTTGTTACTTCTCCCCAAAAGTAAAGAGTTAGTAACCGAGTTACTCCACTATAAAAGTAACTAGTTACTAGAGAAAGTAACTATTGTAATACTTTTTTTTAAGAGAGCACTCACACTAGGTCTTTAGAACTGTGCCGTGCTGCGCACAAGCATGACAGTGTAGGATTCTACGCAACCGATGATGTCATCACTCGGCGCAGTTGGTTTACAGGTGGCAGCAAAGAGAAAATAAGTCCAGCGGCAGAAATATCTATTAAACAGTGAGACAGGTGTGAGTTCTACTGCGATATACTCCTCCGTCAGTTTATGGAGATAATGACAGAAGAGGGCAATGCAGAGCCGTGAGGGCAGGAGTTGTTACTTGTCTGTGTTTCTATCGTAGTTACACATGTGTGTCTCCATAGTTACCTGTCTGTGTTTCCATTACACATGTGTGTCTCCATAGTTACCTGTCTGTGTTTCCATAGTTACATGTGTGTGTCTCCATAGTTACCTGTCTGGTTGCCGGGCCGATCTGGTGCAGGGTGAACAGGTGTGTGTGGTCAGACTGGCTGTTGTATTTGGAGATGGACACAGACACAGGCACTTTCATGTCCTCAGAGTTCTCATCGATCTCTTCAGGACAGCCCACACACGGAGCCTTTGAAGAGGGAGTCAGGCCCTCTGGAAACAACAGAGGGAGAGATGTTAAAATAAAGACAATTATCTCAGAAAAAAACTAAACAAAACGTAAAGGTCCTATATTAAGCAAAATTGACTCCTGTGAGCTTTTTAGTCGTGTTAGACACAACTTAAGTTGTGTTTTGTTTCATTCACACATGTTTGAATAATCCTTTATTAGTCTGTCTACCTCTCCTTTTACGTCTTCCTTTTACGTTTTGTTTGATAGAAGAGATTGCCAATTCCAGGGCCGAAACGATCCAAATGATTCTAGTGAAGTTATATGTTAGTTAAAAACTCAGTGGCGCACTTCTTTTACAACATGACATCACAAGTTGGAACTGACTGTTTTCTGTTTGAGAGAAGACCTCAGCCTAAATCTGCAGGGTTTGTGTGTTAAACATGTGAATGTAACAAAACACAACTCCAGGTCTATTTGTGATGAGGAAACTACATTGGAACATCATCCGAAAATAGCGTAATATTTCAAATGTTATCGTTGTTGCGTTTTGGTGGTTTGAGAGCGACTTTTTCCCTCTCTCCTCAAACAGGACGTACAAGAACTGCTTTGTGAAAGAGGTAGTATAATACAAAAGTGATTTAAAGAACACATTTTCAGGAGGCTGTCATCAATACGAGCGTTCATGGTCCTGTTTAGTTAGTGTTTTGATTTTCAACAACAAAAAAATTCTGACTAATTTTATTTGAGAGAGACGTGTTGAAGAGCACAAATCCTCTCACCTGTTGTAGTTACAGCTAAACAAATTCTTTATGGTCAGACTGTGTTAAAATAAAACTCAGATTAAACTAAATTGAACTTGAGTAACACAGCTTCAGACAGAGCAGTTCCTCCAGTTAGCTCCACACACAGATTATTATCCAGCCCACTTTATTTCTGTAAGCACATTTTATAAACATGACGGTTTCTAAAGTGCTGCACAGACAAATTAATAGTAGAAGTAGTAGGAGTAGGAGTAGTAGTAGTAGTTGTTGTAGTAGTTGTTGTAGTTGTTGTAGTTGTTGTAGTTGTTGTAGTAGTTGTTGTAGTAGTTGTTGTTGTAGTAGTTGTTGTTGTAGTTGTAGTAGTTGTTGTTGTTGTAGTAGTTGTAGTAGTTGTTGTTGTTGTAGTTGTTGTAGTAGTTGTGGTTGTTGTTGTAGTAGTTGTTGTAGTAGTTGTTGTTGTTGTAGTTGTTGTTGTAGTTGTAGTAGTTGTTGTTGTTGTAGTTGTTGTAGTAGTTGTTGTTGTTGTAGTAGTTGTAGTAGTTGTTGTTGTAGTTGTTGTAGTAGTTGTAGTAGTTGTTGTAGTAGTTGTAGTAGTAGTTGTAGTAGTTGTTGTAGTTGTTGTAGTAGTTGTTGTTGTAGTTGTTGTTGTAGTAGTTGTTGTAGTTGTTGTTGTAGTTGTTGTAGTTGTAGTAGTTGTAGTAGTTGTTGTTGTAGTTGTTGTAGTTGTTGTAGTAGTTGTAGTTGTTGTTGTAGTTGTTGTTGTAGTTAGTATTTGTTGTTGTAGTAGTTGTAGTTGTTGTAGTAGTAGTTGTTGTTGTAGTAGCAGTAGTTGTTGTAGTTGTTGTGGTAGTTGTTGTAGTAGTAGTTGTTGTTTTTGTAGTTGTTGTAGTAGTTGTAGGAGTAGCAGCTGCAGTAGTAGTAGTAGTAGTAGTAAAACAATAAAAGACAATAAATCATGAATGAAAACAAGAAATAAAAGTGTTAAAATGCATAAAGATGAAGATGAATTAATCAAATGAAATAAATAAAAGACACAGAGGCGCACACAACTCACGTGGTGTTAAAAGCCACAGAGTAAAAGTGGGTCTTAAGACGAGACATAAAACTCTTCACTGTGAGCGTTCCACAGCGTTCCAGAGTTTGGGGCCGGCCACAGAGAAGGCCTTGTTCCCCCAGGTTTAAGTCTCTTCTTAGGCACCATGAGCTGGAGCTGGCCCTCGGATTAGAGCATAGAAACCTGACTGAAGTCTGACAGGACCCGTTCTGACAAATATTTAGAACTTGTGTTTGAGCTCGAGTCGGACTCAGACACATCAGCACGTCAGCTGTTTCCTGTCTACAGTAAAACCACTCACTTTGAGTTATTATTGTTTGTGAAATGTGGAACAAAACTTCGCATACATGATTTTTAAAGCATAAATATTGGAGATAAAGAGTCACTATCACTAATCTGCAGCTTCACCTTGATCCGTGTGCTGTGTGGATGTAAACAGACACACGTGAGGAACTACTCTTACCTTTTTACTTTTAAAGAACACATCAAATTGGATTAACAGCGTGGCTTTGTGAACTGGATCATTATTTACGGAGGAAATATTCTATGGATAATGTGGATGAGATACTGCACTTTAAATTTACCACTTTACGAGAGGTGAGGAATAAAGTCTTCTCATTATTTACCCTTTATCCAAAGTTTATATTTTGCGTCTCTGTGTCCGTGAGAGGCCACACAAACAATATCCTACGTGTGTCATTAGGCCTATGAAAATAAAATTGTGTGATTTTAATTGTCAGGTTTGGACACAAATATCCTAATACCTCGGGTCAGATTCAATCACTGCTCTGTCAGATGTGGACTGCGGTTGGACAGAAAAATTCAGCCCGATCCACATTCTACCTCAGGTCTGTACTCACCGATCTGACACGCCACGTGCTCGGTGTCTGTGTGCGTCTCGTTCATGTGCACTGTGGCGTTGCATTTGATGGGCTTCTGCAGAAAAGAGAGAGGTTTTACCGTTTGTTGATCATTTCTGTGGCGTAAACGTGAGGGGGACCTTGTCTATGCGCAGGTAGTCGCAGTGTGTCCAGGGGGTGGGGTCCGACGCTGAACAGTTGCTCCTCCTGGTGGTGAAGTCGAGCCAGTACATGCCATTTTCTGCCTAAATAAACAATGGACACAGATGATAAAAATGAGCCTATTTGCTTAGCAGGAGTGGCAGAAGTACACAGTATATGTAAAAGTATAGCCACAAGGGATGGACAAAATTGCCGCAAGAAGTTAAATCATTTTGTACGATTTTTTTCATGTGTTTATATTTGGATTGGACAAAAAGCTGTAGTAGAATGGAAACAAAAATACAGAAAATTGAGGCAAAAATTGGAAACCGAATCTTGAAATGTATTAGAAATGATGTTTAAATCTCGTCTTATCTCGTTCTTGTGGACCCAATCTTGTATCTCATTTCATCTTGTAGAAATCGTGTCTCGTCCCGTCCCTACTAGCCACATGAGCAAAGAATCCGCTTCAAGGGACAGTCCAGAATTTTGGACATAGGGCCTCATTTCCTAGTGAGTGAGTGTTGGAGACGTGTGGAGACACTTTTTGAAATATTCCATCCAGTCCTTGTATTTGCAGAGGTCACTGGTGTTATACTAGTGCATGTCAATGTTCATAGTTCTCCTGACACTAAAAACAGTCTTACCCACTCCACAAAACACCTGAAGCAAATCTGTTATTACACCAGACTGTCCATGTGAATGTCTGTGTTGATCATAGACTGTAGACTGTAGACCGCGTGCCAAGGAAGTTCTCCAGGAGGCTCTTCCGGCTCCTTCTGACTCTGGCTCCAGTTGACTTACATTAGGATCTTGTGGCTCCTCTCTCGTTATCATATGACTTTCCTCGTCATTTTGGTCTTAAAATGTTTGTAATATCCCGTCCTACAGGATCCAGAGTTTTTTTGTTTTTTTTTTCCAGTATTTTGTCCGTCAAAAAAAATCCTGTCTGAGTCTGGCTCCAGATTCGCTCCTGTAGCCGTTAGCATCGCGAGCCTCATTTGAGCGACGCTGAACGCTGTGGGTGACGTCACGCTTGCTTAGTCCACTTCTTTATACAGTCTATGGTGTTGATGGAATAATTGTAGAAGTAAAACAAACGTTGCATTTGAAGGATTTATGTCTAAGCAGCAGCAGTGAGTTGTTCTTCCTGATCAAGCCTCAGTTTTTCAAAATGGCTGCCCATTCAAGTCAATGGGCCGAGCTCAATGGCGCGTGACTCCAGATGAGCCTAGCCTGGCGATGTACTTCAGGTGGCTGTAGTAGTTGTTGTAGTAGTAGTAGTAGGAGTAGTAGTAGTAGATTGGACAGCAGTAGTGCTCTTTTCTACCCGCGGGCACACACCAATGCACGCGAGAGCACACATGGAGTGTGGGCTTGTGTATCATGTGATCCCTTTGACCAATCAGAGTGAGCAGAGAGGAGCCAGACAAAAGACAACTGAAGGATTTTGAGCTGAGAAAAAGTTTATGATATAAAAATAGGTAAAAATTACCACACAATCCAACATTTTTGAAAGTTGTAGGTCCCTGTCAGCTGAACATGAGCAATCTGTGATTGTATTTCACTCTGTGAGAAAAATCCTGTCTCAGCCCAGGAGATTTTTTCTGCTGAAGTTTCAGTGAGTGTCACTACGTCAACTGGAGGGAGCTACAAGCAGCAAAATCCTATCCAGTTTTTAATAGATCCATGTTCCTGATAGAAAGCTCAGCAGCGGCAGACTGATATCACCTAGCACCTAACCACTGTTGGTCAAGTTACTTCAAAACTTTAATGTGTTATTTATGACTTGTTACTGTCATTTAAAATCATTTGTTACATTACAATATTACTGCATTTAAAATGTAAAACATTACATTACTTTTAATTTACTCTCACCAAAATAACTGCTGAACTTCTGCGCCGTATACGGACTGAACCAGGACCAAACCAGGACTAAACCAGGACCAAACCAGGTCTAAACCAAAACTAAACCAGGTCTAAAACAGGACTAAACTAGGACTAAACTAGGACTAAACCAGGACTAATCTTGGACTAGAACTTGGAAGCGCCTTGCAGACAGGGTGTCTGCGTGGCGTGATAGGGCGTCACCTGTGTTTAGTCTTGTGGAGCGTGGAGTTCTGCGTCGGTCCTTTCGCCCGCAGTTACCTGACGGTTTACGTGGGTGCGTCTCTGGCGTTTCGTCACTGCTGATATCGCGGTGATTTTAGCAAATTTGTATGAACAAAAACCCACCACTTCAATCCAGGTTAAAAAAGCATTGTTACTCACATTTGTACCGAGTAAAATATTTAAAAAAATTTCCCCTGTTATGCCACATTACTGCGTTACAGCAAAAAGCAATGGATTACAGTAATTCGTTACTTTTATAACACGTTACTCCCAACACTGCACCTATCTTTCCAGCAAAGTAAAATTCCACTGCTGCTGAGAAAATAGTCCCTCAACATGCGACAATTCATGCGTTGCAAGGTTAGTTTTATTTCAAACATTATTCTATCAACACAGACATTCACATGGACAGTCTGGTGTAATAATAGATTTGTTTGGGGTGTTTTGTGGAGTGGGTAAGACTGTTTTTAGTGTCAGGATAACTATGACCATTGACATGCACTAGTCTAACACCAGTGACCTCTGCAAATACAAGGACTGGATGGAATATTTCAAAAAGTGTCTCCACACGTCTCTAACACTCTGGCTCACTAGGAAATGAGGTCCTAGGTCCAAAATTCCAGACTGTCCCTTTAAAATAACTTGGTTTGGTGAGATAATACCTGTGGTCAATATTTTTCATAATTTTGCATCAGTTAACTGTGTTTTAGTGGAAAAAAGTTGATAAGAATAGTACAAAAATACAGAAAGTAGCAGACAAGGAATTTTTTTTTCTGTCAGAATTATTGTGTAATTTAAACAGGTTTTTGCTTTTATTTACATTATTGTTGCTAGGTAACAGTTATAGAAGTGCCTCTACGTATGTCATATCTGCTGGCAGTGTCCAACCAGGAAGTAAAATGATAAAACTTCACCAAAATTTTTAAGTAGACAAAACTAGACAAGATTTTTAGTAAAGTCTTAAATATAATGCTAACAAGTGAACAGTTTTAGTGAAATTAGTTCACAGCAAAAAGTGTTAAAAGTGTTAAAACTGACTGTCACAGAATCAACTCTAACATTTTCTCAGGGTTTATGTGAGTCCAATCTGTTCTAGAGTTAATTTTTGGAAATGTTAATTAAGTAACACTGGACCAAAGTTCCCGTTTGACCCTGAAATCAAGAGTTATATGAACGTTTTGAGAGTAAACAGATAACACTTTGTAGAGTTATCCTGATTTAACTAAACAACACGCAGAGGTGTTTTATTTTTACACTTTATTTTAGTTAAATCAAGATAAAATTATGTAAAAAACTGGTTCAAACTGGTCTTGTCTCACGGGAGTTTGAAGTGGTGGGTGGAGGTGCCAAATTAACTCTAAGGGAAGTTGAATGAACCTTAGGGGAAGTTGAATTGACCCTGCGTTCGATTATCTTCCGAATCCCACTTGGACCTCGGATTTCACGTCACATCCGAGCTTGAAGCATTTGATTATGTTTGAAATTTCTCTTCCGTTACAACCTTACGGATGTTAAAGCTTGATAAATCAAGAGTTTGTTGAATATTGGCCTCACCACAAAACCAAACCCACAGGCAATGATACGGACGCGGGGAGATACTGCAGTGATACGAGTGATTGAAACTGTCATTTAATCCGCCAAACACAATGAAAACACTTCATATTGTCACAGTGCGCATAGTCATCTTGGATTCTGACTCGGAATCCTTGCTCGGTCTACTTTTTCCGCCACTGAGGTCCGAGTCGCGCCGTCCCAGGAAAAGGGGTGTGTCATGCGTGTCGTTAGGCAACTTCCTTGGAAAACTGATTCGGAAGGATAATCGAATGTAGGGTAACTTCAACCATATCAACTCTGGCAAAAAACCTGAACTCGAACCCCCATTTAACTTTCAAATAATTAAAATAACACTGTTTGTGTTAAAAACAACTCTATAGAGGCTTTGCACCATCACGTGACCCCTATAGCAACAGTACCTACGCCGCCATGACACCGGGCAACACTATGTCATTGACTTCAGCAGCATCTGAGAAACATGGGCAGGTTTTGTTGTGTATTTGGTTGTTCTAGATGCTCTGAAAGGGATAAAACGATTCGTTTCTTCACTGTTCCTCTGGAAATGACTCATCAGGAGCTCAAATAAGGGAATTATCGACAAAAAGACTGGAATTATGGCTAGAGAACATAAACCACGAAGAGATTTCCTATGGTACCATCAAGACACACTCACGTCACTTTCATCAAGGTATTTGCTATTTAAATTGTTTCATAGCTTATTTAATGAAAGAAGCACATTTACTGAACTAAAATAAAAAAAAAAAAACATTTGCAGTGCTACTGAAGTCAATGGCATAGCGTGCCCGGTGTCATGGCGGCATAGGTACCGTTGCCATGGGGGACACGTGATGGTGCAAAGTCTCTATATATGCTATAACTCTATAACAACTCTATAATATTTCACCCTGTAATTTCAACCTTCCAGTTTTTGCTGTGTATTCAAACCTGAATCACCTGTTTAAAAAAGTGCATTAATATTATCTTTCATATGTTCTACTGAATGTCTTTTTATGTTTATGTTCCAGTACTAATGCAATATTGTGGAACATTCAACCCAAAGCAGTCCGTTTCCATGGAGACGTGCGTACCTTGCTGGCAGAAGTGACCTGGAACAGCGCGAGCTTGTGTCCGGTGTACATGTTCTTGTTGAACTTGGTGAGGGCAGAGGTCACGGCCCGGTCCACTGTGGGGTCATCACAGAAGATCAGCACATCTGTACTCTGGAACATGACAGAAAATAAACCGTTACACATGTGGTGCAGCGGGTTAAGTGTCCGCCCACCAACCACAAGGTCAGTGGTTCAAACTTTACTTGAGCATTTACCTTTATGTGTAACAAAAGTGATAAGAAAATATATAGTTCAAGACAAAAGAAAGTGACTAAAAGTGTTGTAAATTGCACACAGTGGTGCAGTGGGTAAAGCAATCACCCACCAATCACAGGGTAAGCGGTTCATACTTTACTTAAGCATTTACTGTTATGAGTGAAACAAAGGAGATAAGAAAACATGTGAAAAAATGTAGTTCAAGTTAAAAGAAAATTGCTAAAATGATTGTAAATTGCAGTTAGTGGTGCACCCACCAACCAGAGGGTCACTGGTTCAAACTTTACTTGCGCATTTACCTTTATTTGTGAAACAAAGAGATAAGAAAATATATAGTTCAAGATAAAAAGAAAATTACAAAAGTTATTCTAAATTGTAGACAGTGTTGCAGTGGGTGAAGCAATCACCCACCAACCAGGACGCCAGTGGTTCAGTCTTTGCCCAGTTTGAATATGTGTGAAACAAAACAGATGAGGTATAAAACATGTTCTACATTTGGGTGACAGTGGAGCAGCAGGTTAAGCGTTTGCCCACCAGTCAGACAGTCAGTGGTTCAAACTCCACTGAGTACATACTTTTGTGTCCTTGGGCAAGACACTTAAGTCATACAGGAGAGGCATCCAGCAAAACACTTTAAACATCAGTTTGTTGTTCTGTTAGAAGGCACAAACAGAAAATCGTGTACTGACATTGACGTTCATTCAAAAATAGTACAGGCTTTAAACATGTCACATTTTTAGATAAAATAACAGAACCGCTTTTTAACTCATAGTATTTGGAAGGATTAAAAGACTAAGCGATTTCAAATGTGCACTTCAAGTTAGAAAAACTGTAATATTTTGCAATAGTCATTAACACAAGGAACATCAGTTCCTCTTTTCTAAACGATTCTGTTAAAGTATTTGATATGGCTCAGAATGGGGTCGTAGGCGGCGTCTGTATCAATAAAACATAGTTCAGAGTCCACATCCTTTTATTAGTCATCTGTTTTCAGTCACTGAATAAATGTTTAAAACCACGAAATCCTCTATTTACTTTTTGCAACTTTTTCCATTTAGACTGTCACAATAAAAATGACAGATTTTTATTTTGATATTTTGTGATTATGGTTAATTTAAGGTTGTTACAGAACAATGATTCAGCATTTTTATGCCAGATGCCCTTCCTATGAGAGCCATGTACCTGTACTGTATTGTGACAAGAGTCAAGAGCCTTGCCGAGGAACACAACAACACAAGGAGCTTGTGCAATATTTGAAGCAGCTTCCTTCTGGTTGGTGGGTGAATGCTTACCCGACTAAACCACAGTTGGCATTAAGTAACAACTGATTTTAAATATATATTAGTCTCACCAGTACTAGTGTGACGTGAAGGCTCAGCAGGGCCAGTGCACACAGCCCCAGCGCTCTCCCCATTTTCAACTGAAACACACAAATCACAATACGATATACAAAATCAATCCTTTAGACACAATATCAAAATATCTGCTTTAGATTAAAGATGCACTGTGTAACTTCTCTAGTGGAGGGTTTGTTTTGCCTAGAATGCTGTTACACAGTGTGGCATTAAATCTACATGGAGACAAAAAAGATCACCAATACAAGTTCCAGGTCAGATCTGTGCAGAGGCGACCCCGCTCACAGTAAGAATGTTTGTTGTGTATGTGTCAATTCCAGCTACACTTTCAACAACACTAAAAAGAGTTTGAGCCTCTTTTAACTCCTAAACTGATGAGCTGAAGTTTACTAATGTGAAAAATCAAGTTCTCTGAATTGAATTTAACAATGTAGTTTTTAGCAGTCTAACTGAAGAACTGAAAGATGGAAAAGTTTAAAACCATACTGCGGAACATTCTAGTAAAAACAATAACATCTCTCTGGATAAAAGCAGGCGGTGAACCCTCCACCAGGAATGTTACATAGTGCACCTTTAATCTGTGTCTACTTGTTTTGTCATATTTACATGAATATATTTTCTCACGTCAAACACAAATGAAGAAAGATTAAAAAAGATTAGTAAGTAAAGTAAAGTAAAGATTCATGCTTCAAATTAAACAATTTTAAAGTATACATTTATTTTAAATTACATATATTTTAAAATCAGAATTTATAAATGTCTTAATTTATGTAATAACATATTAAATCTGATCAAAGTCAACACCAAAGAAACAAATCTGGAGATGTGAACATGAAGCAGCGCAATACGACTGATGGTGAAACAGGGAATCATTTTAAAGTTCACTAATGCAGATTGAGCAAAACAAAATAAGATCAAACCAAAACAGATTATAGGATCATTCTCGACAAAACTCCACATGAAGCTCAAAAGATTACAACTAAAACTAGAAGAAAACATAAATAATAATATATTTCTCTGACCTTTTCCAGTGCAGACGTCGTGTTGTGGCCGAGGAATCAGACGAGCAAGTGGCATTCACCTCAGCAGTGCCCCACACGCGGGCACCACCAGGATCAAGGTTTGAGCTGTGTTTACTCTGAGGCTGTCCGATCAATACTGCTCCACACACGCAAAGAAATACAACTCAAATAGGACTAAAAGAGGATCATTTAGACTGCAAATACTTTCACAGTCTTTATTAAGTTTTAGTGAAAAGGTTAAAAAGTCAAATTTGAGAGTGTGGCTGCAGTTTTGGTGATAAGTATGAAGGTTTTGTGTGTTTTGGAGGTACTTTGCCCTCGTTGAACTTTGAACGCTGCTTCCTGTGATCTGAGGTGACATGTGCCCTGGATTACAAAAAAAAATCTGGGGGAAAATGTAGGCTCTAAAAAGACAATAATGAAATAAAACTTTTAGTTGTGCTATCCTTGAAATGTTACAGTATGGCATTAAACTTATCTAATTTGGAAGTACAATTACAGTCACCAGAGAAGTTACTTTTAAACTGACAAGATTCCTTTATTTGTTCCACAGTGGGAGAATTCCAGTGTTGCAGCACACAGTTCAACAGCAAAAAAAAATATAAATATGATTATGCAAACAAAATCAATCTACAGACTTGGATCCAATCAATCTAAAATATCAGCAGGGCCGGAGAAGCCTTTGAGCACAATAAGCAGCTGCTTAGGGCCCCGAGGCCACCAGGGGGCCCAAATATTTTTGGGAAACTAAGCAGTGCTCAGGTGTTTATACTGGTGTAAATACTTCTCTAAAATAATAAAATGTTGTTATTTCCAAAAGTTTAATATCTGTTGCCTACATTTGTTTTTGAGTCGGGCAGATGTGTGGGCAGCTCTGTGTTTACTCTGGTGGGTGTGCTCTTTGAATGTCTGTTTACAGGTTAGACTACAGGTTAGTGAAGTCAAATGTATTTAAAATAGAGGACAATGCACCAAGAGCCCCAGAGGAGGATCATTTTAGGGAAAGAGGGACTTTTCAGAGAGGACTCCAAATATGTTTCCACTTTACCCCACTGGAGGAGCCAGGATAAAACAGTGAAGCTGCACGTTTCTAATGATGTTTATAATAATGCATAAAGGACATATGAGAGCCACATGAAGACAGAGGAGAGACAGTTTATTCAGTGGTCTGTTTTTGGTTGTGGTTTATCCTTTTGTGATCTGAACCATCATCTGTGATGTGATTGTATAGAATCAGGTTCTGCTCCTGTTACCACATTAACATGATTCTGACTCAGTTCTCTCTGTTACCTCTGCTGGACAAGTGAACGAGCTGAGAACATTTCCTGAATACTTTCTATGAATGCACATGAATATGCTCAATAATATGCACATTTACAAGAAATGTTTCACCACTGGATGAGCGGCGAAATGTCTTCACTCTGAATCTTGTGTCCAGTAGGCAAGGCAAGTTTATTTGTATAGCACAATTCGTACACAAAGTAATTCAAAGTGCTTTACAGAATAAGAAATACATTAAAATCATAATAAAAACAAATCAAAACATAAATAATCATGAAGATTAAAATTAAAAAAGAGAGACATAAATTGGAGAGAAGAGTGCGGAATGAAAACCTTTCAGTTATATGCACAGTTAAACAGAAATGTTTTGAGTCTGGATTTAAACAGCGTCACAGAAGAGTCTGTCTCACATGTTCAGACTGTTCCAGGTTTTAGCTGCATGAACCTGAAACGCTGACTCCCCTTGTTTAGTCCTGACTCTGGTAGAATTTTTCTTTTGCTATATTCCACAGTGTAACAGTAGAGTGATTATTTAAAGTCAGGGTTTCCTTCTATCTGTCCAGTTCTGCATTTTATAACATAAAGAAATGATAAATGTTTACCCCCTTTAGCCAACTGGAACACATTGTAAATGGACCAGAAATCAGGAAAAACAATTCTAGAGGAGCACCCCCAGACCCCCCTGTGTTCACGTGCTGTTATTGTGGCTGTTGTGAGCTTCTGGAATTTTCTGTCTCATTTTTACAACAGGTTGAGACAGTGTTGCCATAACTTTTCTTCAGTATGACTTACCAATAGTGGAGCTTGCTTTGTCTCCATGGAAATAGATCCTTTTAATGCCATTCTGTGGAAAATGATAACAGCTACATTGAGACGAGCAGTGAGCAGAACCTCGAACAGAAAAGTTCCATAGTCTCTACATTACTATACACAAATAGTCATTTATATTTACTGATGCTGAAAACTCACACTCTTACTTTTACATACACACTCTTAGACACACATGCACGCACACACACACACACGCGCACACACACACACACACACATACACACAAACTTTACACCTTGTTTTTGTGGCAGTGTATGTATTTGTATTGTATTGTTCCATTTTGTACTTATTCTATTGTCCGGGCTAATGTCTGTGTGCATGTTGTATGTTGCAATTTAAAAAAAAATTAAAAATAGTAAAGTTCCATAGTGGCTCTTTAAGTCAAAGGTTGATGTGTTAAAACAGTAGTGCAGGCAGCAGTCACAGTGCTCTGTCTGCAGGTTCAGTGTGAGAACAGTTTTGTCTCATCATTTCCTCTCAGATCGAGCCGTTTCACACTCTCCACAGACCACACACTGCACAGGCTCTCTCTGCCTCCTCTGTCTTCTTTGTCTCCTTTGTCCTCTGCCCTCTGGTCCCTGCGTGGAGACATCATGGCCCCTGCACCTGCCCACTGCACCTGTCTGCTCCTGTTCTCCGCTCTCATCTCAGGTAAACCCACACAAATATTCACACTGTGTAGTTATTGTATTTGATTGTATTCTCTTTCAACTATTCTACACAGCCTATTCACTGTGCAGTAACACTCTGTAATGACTACACTTTAATAAGCCTTAATAAAGCATGAACAAATACTTAATTCATGAAGAACAAATAGTTTATTAACAATGATTCAGACTTGTGAACTATAATAGGGTCTGTTAGTTGTTTTTCTCCATGGAGATGTTGTTGCTTTGTCTGAAATGTATAGCATTAAACCTTTCTATCTTCATGGAGACCAAACCAGACCATATTACAGGGCAGATCTGTCAGAATGTCTGTTTTTCTGGTATTTTTGAGCTCTAAAACCATCTGTAATTGAATAAATGTAAAGTAGAGCTGTTTAATGTGGAACATTCCAGGCAGAGCGGTGACATCTCCAGCGTCTTTAAGCTGTTAGTAAGCCTGTATTGTATTGAATTGTTTTGCATTCAGCTTCACAGTAATACGGTAGGCTTTCACAATATATGAAACTCTTCTTCCATTTTTTTTGTTGCTGTTGCTGCAACAAAAACAGAGAGAACTACACAGACCAGGAGCCATGCATACTACTATTGTTACATCCTTACATGTTTATTATCATGTTTATTTTAGATGTATTGAAAATGAATACATGTATTAAAGTGATGTTATCAATATCAAAAGTCATGTAACATATATTCATTTAAGTCTGAGGCTATAATACTCCCACAATGCAGTGCAAAGACTACATATATTGAGACATATGTATGAGAATTATATGAATGAATGTATACATGTGACTTTTTTTTTTATCTCTGTTGATTATAAAAAAGCGAAACACAGATAAAATAAAGTTATTATTTGGCATAAAGTATTAATAGCTTTACCATTCAGATTTATTTTAATCTATGGGAGCTAAACTGCGACTGTGTGGGGCCAAAATAGAATACAGATGGGGGAAGGGCAGTAAAATAGTTGTATAATGTTAAATAAAGTTGTAATATAGCAAGTTCTAGAGTCTAATCACACACAGAAACAGACTATTGAACAGAAATGAGTCACCTTTGCCCCCCATGTGTGAGTACAACACCAGCATTTTTGAATCTGAAAACTGCCCACTGTGTGTATTATTAAGTTTTCTTCAGGTTACTATCTCATTAAATTCAATAACTCAAACTGAAACTAAAAAATAGCCTCCGTGGTTTTCCTGAACACCCCCATGATGCCTAGACTAAGCTTTATGAAAAGGTTGTTTCCTGGTGGGGTTACTTTGGTCTTTTTGACATGTGAAGAGTCAAGGCACAAAAACTTTTCACTGTTGCCACATGAACTAAAATAAAAGGGAGATTTGCATTTACAAAATCACATGAATTTGTCGCAAAAACTCATTATTATGTTGTGATTTGTTCTAATTCCAGTCTCTCTCTTCATGTTGTGGTTGGTAAAAACTTAAACTTATATTCACATTTGATGAATTTATGATTTTTTTAGAGTGGGGTAAAAAGTGTTGTTGCTTCAGCCAGCTGAGCTCTGCATTCTGTGATTAACAAGATGAAAATGTTGGCAAAATTATTGCAAGTTGTATGAAGCCTGTGTATCTCCTGTTCTAAACTATGTACAGTATAGTACATGTGTGCTTTTTGGAAGTGCATAAGTTTGTCCGAGTTTTTCCAGTGCAGGGTGATTTGGGCTTGGTCCCCTCAGTCCAAAGAAAGTGAGACATTAGACTGTGGAATGGGATTATGAATGAAACTGATGACCGAGTTTCTAAATAGGTTTTTGAGTGGAGTCAGTTTCTATTTATGACTTTATTTAAAACTGAATTTTATGTCAGAACAAATTTGAGTAGGAATCAAAGATCTCTGATTGCCCAGCGATGCACAGGAATCTTCTTGTGGCCTTAGAAACCGTGAGGTTTTCTCAAACCCCTGAAGAAGATTCTGTGGTTTGTGTGAGTTGCAGAAGTGGAAAGTAAAGCTCATTTTCTGTCATATTGTCCTTTTTAAGATGAAGTTAGAAATCCTTTGTTTGATGAAATGTTCATTCGATGCCCTGATATGATCAAATGTAATGATGACAACAAGACGAAATGGTTATTTAATGTTAATGTTTATAATTTGGTTTAATTTCTCTGTAAAGTCTGGAAGAAAGGGCAGATTTATTTGTTTAAATTAATCCATTTATGTTATAACACATGTTTGTAACTTTCCTATTGCATTTTGTTAATGATGTTTTATAAGCTCATGGTGGGGCAGGGCATGTTTGTATGCAAGACACAATAATAAACATTAATGCATTCAATTCATATATGATGTATGATGCTTGTGTTTTGATCAGGAGTTCATCTGCAGTTCAGCAGTTCAGAGAAAGCTCTTATCTACAAACCTGTACTGCAGCCCCACGAGTCCATCCCTCCCACAGGTACTGTGACATACTGCAAGTACAGACATTTACATTTCTGCAGCAGTGGTAGTTTTTACATGAACTTCTGTGCAGCTGTAGTCTTGTGAGTGCAGTTTGGGTCAGACATGTTTGGAGATGTAGACAGTCTAATAATGCAGGATTAAACATGTGTTAATTGAGCAAAACACAACTGCAGGTCTGTTTCTGAGGAGAGAACCACATTATAACTCAAAGTTCACAAGAGTCCATTTTGTGTAATATAGCACCTTAAATGCTTTTGTATATGTTGATGGTTTTATAGGGACCGTGATATATAAGTTTCTTCAAAGGTGTCTAATAAATAAAAAGGTTTTTATTATTTTTTCATTATTATTATTATTCGTTAAAGTGTGTGTGTTGCAGGGACGTACATGCTGCGGACTGCGACTGGGGTCCCTTGTATCAGAGTGACACTGGGAGCAGAGTTCTTGGTGCTGGAGCAGAAGGTGAGACTGGCTCAGCACAAAAACATGAGACTGACTCTGCACTATTCACCCCACAGTGACTCTACATCAGCTACTGTCACCACGGCGACACAAAGCTCCGCACTTTACCAACCTCAATAACGGCTGTTGGCCTCAGGGTGCAAGGATTAACAATACACCCAAATCTGGCGCAATTCTCAAATCAAGCACAGCGTTTTCAAAATGTCCAAAATGGTTGATGTCTGTTTAATGTGCTTTATTATATAGGCCTTTATTTAGACCTGATTCATGTCTTTGTCTGTACATCAAACTCACACTGATGGGCCTGAGCTGCATTTGAACAATGAGTCCATGACGGCTGATGTAGGTGACGTTTGAGTGAGCTCCTCGATTCTCAGTCTGCTTCATGTACTGTACTATAAGCCTTTATTTAGACTTGATTCATGTCTCTGATTGAGTGCTGTCTGTTCATCAAATCACAGTGATGGGCTTAAGCCGCATTTGAACACTACATTTATATAAAATGTCCAAGATGGCTGGTGTAGGTGACGTCTGAGTGAGCTCCTCGATTCTCAGTCTGCTTCGTGTAATGTACTATAAGCCTTTATTTAGACTTGATTCATGTCTTTGATTCACTGCTGTCTGTTCATCAAACTCTTCATCAAACCTGATGAGCTGCATTTGAACAATGAGTTTTTTAAAATGTCCAAAATGGCCGATGTAACAGTGGTGTTTGAGTGAGCTTGATGTAATGTAGCCGTCATTTAGACCCGATTCACGTCTCTGACAAAATACTTTGCCACACTTTGTCAAACTGGTGGGCATGAACTGCATTTACTTTGACTTGGCTCTCCTCATCGCTCCTGTCCTCCTCCATGGACCAAACCAGGGACCAAACTGCTGCCGGCTGGTTCATCCTGAGCGCCTCCAACAACTCAAACAGATGATTTCCTACTTTGACCCCAAACTCCAAAACTTGCAATGAACTGCAGATGGTCTGCAAGCCTCTCATATCTTTGGGGATCAAGTTGGAGAGGTTGAATGTAGGGTAAGCTCAAACTGGGACAATGTAACTGATTTGGAGAAATGCATTTAGACTCTCGAGAAGCAGAACCTTTTGGTGAGGACGGGGGACGCAGGGAGATTCAGGCCTTTGTTTCCTCTGTACTTCTTTGGTTCTCCAATTTCAGTTTCAAAATCTGTGACACGTGCAGGATTCGACAGCGTTGCGTGGTCATTTTGGTACAAAAAAAACCGTCTTTGTTGTGATGACGTTTACAGCAGCAGCAGAAATCAGAGGACTTGTTTCTTTTATCAAGTCATTTTAAATGAATATTGTGATTTAAAATGTGCAAATTATACCTTATACCATACTTGTAGATTATAGTATAGATTATATCTGTATAGCAGAAACATGCACATGTGTTCTTTAAGGCACACTTTATTGTCCCAAATGTGCCCTCTGCATTTGCATCTGTTTACAGAAAACACTTGTAATGGAATATTACACAGTTCACAGGTTTAAAGCCTTACTGCGGAACATAACAGACAAAGCTATCACCATAAGGGGCAGGGCATTCGCTCACTCTGCTCCTCAGCTCTGGAACTCCTGCTGTGTTTGTTTATCCATCCATCTCCCACTCGGATTTCAGATCTGACGTTACGTCCACATCCACGTTTCAAGTATTTTATTATGTTTCGTGTGTCTGGCTCGGAGAAAAACGTGGAGGCTAACCGGAAAACTGTTGTTGCTTTAGCACTCGCCGAGTACCAGGCTCCAAAAATAAGTCTGTGCTTCAACTACACAACCTCCAGGAAGAATGCAGTATAAATAGTTTCATTCAGTATAAATAGTATCATTCAGTATTAGTGAAGTGAAAGTGTTGGTGTCACGTGATAGTCGATCATTTTGGCACATTAGTTAGAAGGAAATGGGATAAAAACAGGGGCAACACCGACTACCAAACCCACAGGCAGTAATACAGATGCAGTAAAATACTACAGTAATACAGATGCAGTAAAATACTACAGTAATACAGATGCAGTAAGATACTATAGTAATACAGATGCAGTAAGATACTGCAGTAATACACACACAGAAAGGTATTGCAGTAATACACACACAGTAAGGTATTGCAGTAATACAAGTGACTGAAATTGTCATTTAAACCACCAAAGCTCCAAACACAACAAAAACACTTCATACAAATGACACTGGGAGCAGCCGTCTTGGATTCTATCTGAAAATCCTTGCTTGGTCTTCTCCGAGCTCTTCCGAGTTCCAAGGAAATGGGGCGTGTCAGTGCATGTCACTAGGCAATGTCCTCAGACCTCCGAGTCAGATGGATAATGGAACACACCATTAGTCCCACCCGACCGCTGTGATCTTGATGCACTCCCAATATTCAAATCCAGACTCAAACTCGTTTATTTATATGAATCCACCCCCATTAATGTCTTGATGTTTTAGAGCCTGTGCCATACTGTTTGATTGTTTTTAATTATGTGTCTTAATTGTTGTTTGTACGGTGTTCTTGAGTGCCCAGAAAGGCACCGTTAAATAAAATGCATTATCATTATTATTTCCATGGAGATGAGTAGCTGTCTGACACCTCGACCGCAAAAGTTACACCGTGCACCTTTAACGAGCCTAACCCTTATGTAATACTTCTGCTGTGTTTTGTTTGCTTTCACAGACGTGGTATTTTAACCTGGACCCGTCTCGTGTGACTGTGTCTGGGACCTGTGGATCAGCTGTGGCCATTTTGTCTCTTGCTCTGCACAATGAGGGTGGCAGTCTCCAGTTCTTCTTCACCAAGGTACTACAGCTGCTACCATCAACATTCACTGGGGGTGTGATGGTAACTGTAAGCACTGCTCTGTCTGAGACTTGTTGAACTTTAATCTGAGCTTTATTTTAAGACAGTCTGACCAGAGCTTTTCGTTAAAATATATTTAGCATTTTTTCATATCTGGTGGATGGTTTGTCACCTGCTTGTTTCTATGGAGATATCATTGCTCTCACTGGAATGTTCCACAATATGACACCATGCAGCTACCTTACATTTATTTAATTACAGGTGGTTTTATAACTCCAAAATACCTAAAAAAGCATTGTGGCTGTGAGCAGGGTCGCCTCTCCACAGATCTGTAACTTCATCTGCTTTTGTCTACATGAAGATAGAAAAGTTTAATACCATACTGTGAAACATTCCAGTTAAAGCAATAACATTTCCACTGAGAAGAGCATTTGACAGACCGTCCACCAGAAAAGTTACACAATGCACCTTTAAGTTTTCTGACCATCTGAAATCTTTGTTTGGCTGTGTTTGGTAATGTATGCATTGTCACCATGGAAACTGCAGGAAATGCTGAATGTGATGGCACTGCAAAGTATGAATATATATAACCCATCAAACTCCTATAAGTCTGTGGTACTGCCCAGGACTGTCTCCTCAAGGCTCTCAGATACTTGATCTTTTGAAAACAGGCTTGATGGTGAACTGATCCTGAGAGAGCCCCAGAGAAATTGAACACAAATTTATTAATAAAAAAACTGCTGATTTTCAATGAGTGTGTACACATGCACATGAGTATTCCGGTTATGATCGGGTTTTTTGAGTATCCCGGTTTCATCATGGTGCATGTATACAGTTTCAGTATCTTGTTTATGGCAGTATCCTGGTTATGAGAAACCAGGATACTGTAGACCAGGGGTGTCAAACTCATTTTGGTCCGGGGGCCGTACCCAACCTACTTTGATACCAAAGGGGCCGGATCAGAAAACTCATGGCATATAAACCCCAAAAATAACAATAAGTTCAAATATTTGTGCAGAGAAACACAAATCTATTACAGAAATCTTTTTTAATTGATGAACTCTTTCTTATTATAATATTATAATATTATGAACAACCTGAAACTTTAAGAAAAATTCAATTTCAACATTTAAAATATTTTAGTAGAAAATCACCCAAGGGCCACATTAAAGGTCTTTGAGGGCCGGATCTGGCCCCCCGGGCCTTATGTTTGACACCTGTGCTGTAGCGGGTATTTTCCAATAGTAACTGGGATACTGTGGCATGTAAACACAGTATCCCGGTTACTGCAATATAAATTTGAGTGCGCATGCGTCCAAAAGACAAATACTTTTCAGTCTTTTTACCACTACAACAGTGACATAAATAAAGTGACCATACATGAGTGAAATGACTGCGCTAAACCTGCACAGGAATCTGCACTGTACGACCTGCGCACAGTACGATCGCTGAAAAGTTAAACATGAAACATCTCCTACTCGATATACGCACAGAACACACTCACCATCATCACCAAAAAACACATATAATCCACTGAGTTGTGTCCGACAGAAGCTGAACCACATCAGCGGCACAAGGAGCGAGCTGTTGTAGCCATGTGGTCTTAGTTTCAGTAAAACATAAACAAATGTGACAAAGCTGAAATATATTATCAAACGGGCTGATGTGGTTGTGGTTTATGTGTTATAAAGCTGAGTTTATTTATGCAGAATATTTTAATAAAAAATCTACACGTTGGGTTTGATGTGTGCAGTGGATTGTGGGATACCTCATAGCTCCGTACCGCTGGTCAGAACCCATGGATCTATTAAAATAACCTTCCAAGTTTGTATTTTTCCGTTTGTATTTTTTCTGGTTTATTAACTTAAATTAGGTTCATTTTTGCACTTGCGCATTTGTAAGATTATGTCAAGAAACCAGGATATTTTTCATTTGATCATGTTCACACGAATATGAGTATCCCGGTTTCTCAGTGTGGATGTAAACACAGTAGGGATGGGCATTCGATGAAATTTTCTTAATCAATCTTCGGAAGAATTAACGATCGATTATCGATTAATCATTAACATTTTTATATTAAAATGATCATCATTATTATTACTATCTGCACTGCTAATCTGCATAAATAAATTCAACTTTACGACATATAAACCGTAACGACTCTAGAGCCACATCAATCCGTTTGACATTATTAATGTGTTTAATTCAGTTTTGCGCAACTCTCACAGAAACCAAACTTAAAACCGCATCACCAATTTGCATAAACTAAGCGAAGATAAAACTACAGCTCTTGTGTCGCTGATGCGGTTCAATTTCTGTCAGATTAAAAGACATGATTCAGTGGAATACAGGTTAGTGTGACCAGATTTGTGTTTGTCAAAACCAGGACACCGTACGGGGGGAGGGAGGTGGGGACTTGTCATCGACATTGAGCAACTCTCACCTGGCAAAACTTTTTCCCTCTGGACACTGAAACATATGTGCTGCTTTGTACACTGTGCACATGGACTCACACTTGTCCCGAACGCAACGGAAAGCGTGGAATTTCTTGTACAAATCATCGTTAAATACACATTTGTGCTTCGGTACGTTGCAGACTGACCCACTGTTTCTGTTTGTGTCTCGCTCCTTCTGATGCAGAGACACATGTACAGACCCCTGTTCGGTCACGCTACACACAGCAACCTACATTCGGTTTGTCGATTAAAATTAATGTAATCGATGAAATTCTTAATGATCAATTATCGATTAATCGACTAATCATGCCCATCCCTAATACACAGTATCCCGAATACTACCATAACTGGGATATGGCTTATAACCGGGATACTGATGTGCATGTAAACACACTCATTAAGCAAATTCTCTTTATTCTGGAATTTATGTAGAGGTCCTATATTTTAACCAGACTCTTCTATTTGGCCAAACTCCTTGTCAAAGTTTGATCTGGTCAGATCTCAGGCCGGGTCTGCTTACTACTTGGATACTTGGGAATATCAGGAGGGTCTGTTAAAGACACATCACCCACATCGTCTAGTATGCATCTAGTGTATGAGTGAGCATTGATGGTGGTCAGAAGGGCTGATGGTGCAGATTGGAAGCCTCACTTATAATACCTTTCTTCCAAGTCCACTTTATTTCTATAGCACATTTTACAAACAAAGCAGTTTCCAAAGTGCTGCACAGAGATCATAAAACGAACACAACAAAAAGGGAAATTGCTCAAATTTGGTCAGACCAGTCCTAAAACAATAAAGCCAGTCAAATAAAATAAAAGCAAAACCATAAAAATCATAAAATAGCAGTAAATAAATCAAATAAATAAAGTAAATAAAATAAATAAAAGACACAGAGGACCACACAACTCACACGGTGTTAAAAGCCAAAGACAAAACTTAAAACTCTCCACTGTGGGGGCTGTTGGGACATGGGGGGGCTGAGCTTTCCAGAGCTTCGGACCGGCCACAGAGAACGTCCTGTCCCCACTGGTTTTAAGTCTCGTTTTAGGCCCCACGAGCTGGAGCTGGTCCTCGAACTTCAGAGCGTTCTTCTTTGAGTGCCCAAAAAAGATTATATAAGTCAAATGCATCATTATTATTTATTTGCAGGAGAAGAAAGTTTACTATGTGAAGAAGATAACTGCTCACTTGTCTCCGTTCCCTGTCTGCAAAAACTGCTCACGTAAGAAACTGATGAATACATTTAATTTTGTGTAAATGTACTTCTCTAAGTGCATGTGACAGGTCTTCATGTTTTTCTATTTATGACTTGGTTTGGTGGGATAATGTGCTAAATATTAACCAGTTTTACATTAAGTTAAGAGGCAGTTTGAGGGAAAAAAGTTGAGAAGAAAAGTAGAAAAATACTGGAAGCAGCACTGAGTTCTAAAACAAAATACCTTTACTTATGTCAGTCAACACCGAAAACTCTATCTGACAGTTTAAATATTAATTTAACGAAATGAAGGTGTCATTTATTTTCATTAGTCTAATCCAAACTATTGTGCAGCTTAGACACACTTTGGTTCTTGTTTACATTATGGTTGCTAGGTAACAGAAGTGGAATTATCTCTATCCAGGAAGTAAAATGATAAGATAGACATGCTTTTCAGTCAAATCGTAAATATGTCTTCTCTGTCTGCAGGCACTTATACAGGAATTGTGGACCATGAGAAGCTGTTTGTCTCTAAAGGTGGTCGTAGTTTTAAGTGTAACTCTGAGAGCCTTCTGCACTTATCTTCTACCCTCCGCCTTAAGATGGTGCCTCTGCAGATGCAAGCCTTCTCTGTGCCAAAGGGACAGTACGGCAAAGGTAACTCAACCCAACCGAGCTTTATACATCTGTTATGACAAGATTCTAGAGTCCATCCTAGTTTAAACTGAGCTGGAGGACAGGCCCGAATTCTGTGGTGAAATTTACTATAAGATTACTTCAGTGCCACACACTTGCCTGGGCTCAGCTACTGGTGATTCATATGGTCTGTGCGACGACCCCCTGACCCCCTGTTTAAAAATTTATATTTTTTTAAATTTAAGACATTTTTCCTGATTTCTGGTGCACCTGAGTGTGTTCTAGTTGGCTAAAGTGGGTATAAAATGCAGAATTGGATAGAGTAGCCAAAACTTTTACTCAGGTAAGGAAACCTCGACTTCAAATAATATTACTCAAGAAGTAAAAAGTGGTGGTCCCAGAAATGACTCAAGTAAGAGAAGCATAAGAAAACTACTCTGGACATAACATCAGAAGTATAGTTTGTTTTTGACACTTGTAGACAAATGCACTTACAGTGGGAAAGTAAAAGCTTTTACTCTAATAACTCACTGTTATTTGTTATTTGACACTGTTGAATATAGCAAAAGAAAAAAAATCAACTGGACAAAAGTTTCAGAGTGAAGAGGTTTCACCACTCTGAAACATTTCCTGTAAAGGTGCATATTAATGAGCATATTCATGATTAATTATTTATGATTTTTGCTTAATTCAAAGAACATATTCAGGAAACAGATCCAGAATCATGTTGTTAAAGTAATAACAGGAGAATAACCTGATTCTCTACAATCACACCACAGATGATGGTTCAGATCACAAAAGGATAAACCACAACCAAAACTAGACCACTGAATAAACTGTCTCTCCTCTGTCTTCATGTGGCTCTCATATGTCCTTTATGCATCATTAGAAACATCATTATAAACCTGCAGCGTCACTGTTTTATTCTGGCAGTTCCAATGGTGTCAAAGTGGAGACATATTTGGAGTCCTCTGTCCTCAAAAAGATCCTCCTCTGGGGCTCTTGGTGCTTTGTCCACTATTTGAAATACATTTGATTTCATGAAATTTTAGTCTAACTTGTAAACAGACATTCAAAGAGCACACCCACCAGTGTAAACACAGAGCTGCCCACACATCTGCCCGACTCAAAAACAAATGTAGGCAACAGATATTAAACTTTTGGAAATAACAACATTTCATCATTTTAGAGAAGTATTTAGACTAGTATAAACACCTGAGCACTGCCTAAACTTTCCAATCTTTATTTTCAATATAAGTGGTGCCCCCTGATGGCCTCGGGGTTCCTAATCAGCTTACAGTTCACTTATAGTCTTGGCCGACCCTGTACCAGAGTTGTATTTTGCTTCATCCTCACTGTTTAACTAATCCTCTTTAAAAGGTTCTTTGTCTCTGAGCTGTCACCAATCACACAGTTAGAATTTTCCCAGGATTGTTGCATCATAGGTGAAAGACTGCACCATTTTTACTTCCCTAAATCATCAACAAATTTATTCAAAGCATTTCAGTCGTCAAATTATTGTCAGTTTCCTTTTTGTAATTCTGTTTAGTGCCAGTAGATGGAGAGATGCACCAGATCCCAGTATGAGGAGCACTGAAGCTGTGAAACAATGTGTGGTTCTTTAGTTATTAGCCGTTATTTTAAGTTCTAAAACATGAAATACCAAAGCAAAACTACTGGAGACCATGTTTAAGGGCACATAGCATAATAATTGTTAGACCAGGTGATTCAAACCAGTGACCGTGCGGTTGGTGGGCTGACTCTTTTCCTCTTGTGTCTGTTGTGTCTGTCAGAGGTGGAGTGCTGGGCGGACTATAACAAGCGCGTTATCCCCATCGTCATCGGGGCGGTGATAGTGGGACTGCTCCTCATCGCTCTGCTCACCTATGTCATCATGAGAGACAGACGCAGGACCGGCTACGAGAGTCTGTGAACGCACCACCAATTTACCACTGAGTCTGTGAAAGCAACACGAATGTACAACTGTCTGTGAATGCAACACCGACATCATGTACAAGGAAAGACAAGTATATAAAAAAGTGCACTGTGTAATTTTTCTGGTGGAGGGTCCAGTGATGTTATTTCTTTTGCCTGAAATGTTCCACAGTATGGCATTAAACTTATCAATCTCCATGGAGACAAGCAGGAAACACCGCCCGGCCAAGGTAAAGGTCAGATCTGTGGAGAAGTGACCCCGTTTACAGTAAGAATGAATGCTTTCAAGTATTTTTAAGGATAACACCTTTTATTATTTAGTAAATGTTTGGATACGTTTAATGCCATACTTCGGAACATTCCAAACACAGCAAAAACATCTCCATGGGACAAACAGTTGGCAGAAACCCTCCAGAAAAATTCCACAGTGCACTTTAACTGTAACTTACCTTATTTCGTGGACGATTGTTGTTGTATATTTTTGTAGATATATCGTCAAGATTACATTGTGAGATTACCGTATTTTTTGGACTACAAGACGCACTTAAAATCCTTTAATTTTCTCCAGAATCGACAGTGCTCCTTATAATCCGGTGCTCCTTATGTATTAATTCTGGTTGTGCTTACTGACCTCGAACTGATTTTATGTGCGGTGTTGTGTATCACATAAAACATTCTGTCCCGAGGTCTGCTCAGTCCTGCTCCCGCCCACACCCACATTGTGCCGTCTTGCTTCCGCCCGTACCGACAACACAGTGTGGGGCTCTACTACGAAGCCGCATCTCTAGTAATCCACATTCACCAAGACAGGGAGGCAACGTCAGGTGAGTTACGCCATGATCTGCCAGTGGATCGTGGACGCCTGGACTAAGGATCAGTCTCAAGCGTTGTCTGTTTTGTTTCACTTCATGCGCCTTATAATCTGGTGCACCTTATGTATGAAAATAGACGAGAGAATTCAACATTTTTGATATTGCGCCTTAAAATCCGGTGCGTCTTGTAGTCCGAAAAATACGGTAAGCAATATTGATAATTTACAGTGACATCAGGCTGGGGGTGTTTTACATGTATGTGGATTGTTCGGCCGTTTCTAAGGTGTAAACACTGCCCCCAAAAAAAAGGTTTTCAGAAAAGAAAAGAAAGAAAGAAAAAATATGAAATGGATGTAAACCATAGACTGTATAAAAAAGTGGATTAAGCGAGTGTTCAGCTCCACACAAATGAAGCTCCTGTTAGAGGGTAAAAGCACGATTACAGGAGCCAGGCTCCATATTTGGAAATCTGACTGCGAGTATCATAACAACCACAAGAGCCAATCATGATTGAGGTCATTAAATGTGCCTGGCCTTCTCACTGGAAGGGGGCTTACTTAGCAACGAAGCACACTAGCTGTCAATCAAACTTGTTGCTAATGCAAGCATGAGTAACCTTGGGGACTGAAGGCGTCCGATTGATCCATTATTTATGTTCAGATCTCGATTTAGGGACAAAATAGTGAAATAGAAGGATCATGGCTGCTGTGGCCTCGCAGGTACAGAGAGAGGAGCCACAATATTCCAATGTAAGTCTATAGGCTCTATGCACAAACCAGGAAGTTACGTCACAAACCAGGAAAATGTTTGGAAACACGTGATGTAGTTCACTGGGTTCACCAACAGACTGTGATCAAACCCACTGAAGTAAATACGATCGTTGGTAAAATGAAGACTGCAGACGTATGTGCTGTTTGGAATCATCTGGAATTTGGCGTCTCATCTCTTGTAATCACATGTACCAGTGCACTCAGAGTTGTGTGTCAGTGTGGAAATGATAAAAACTGAGGTATGGTTGTAATTGTTGATTAGCTGAACATAACAGAACGCTACAATGACATGGAGATGAAGAAAACTGGGACATTTTCTAATTTTTCCTAAATTTTGTTAGACTTACTACCACGAACAGAGCCCATTGTAAGTTGTCATCATGTTTCCAGTTAGCTTCACACCCCCAGGGAATATTGTTGATCCCAGCTGCAAAATATCAGTTGTTACATGTATGTATTGTTATGTATGAGAATTCAATAGAACAGCTGTTGTTTGTATTGTTTGTGCTTATGCTGGTTTAGTTATTATATGTTAGTTGGTCAAACCTTGAAGCTGAGATAAATAATGTCGCCTGATGCATTTAAAACTTCTATCCTTCCACAAAGCTGGGGAGTTATTTTAAAACAAATCTTATCAAGAAATAATACATGTATCTTTTTTTATTTGTCACTTGGCCTCTCCCCTTTCTCTTCATCTGTTAAAGCATTAAATCTCTCTTTTTTAAAGCCCTTACACTTCTGGTCTCTTTTTCTTAAAACGGTGAGAGAGACAATTCTGTTCATTGTTTTTATGGACGGGCTGGAGGGGGTCCAGTTTCCGACCATGGTTCTCAAATGGAAAAGATGGCGCCCTCTTCAGGTGGGTGGAGAGTCCCTGGCTCAGGTGGAGGAGTTCAAGTGTTCCGGTCTCAGCTCTCCAGCTCCTGCTGCAGTCGTATCTGTTTAACCCTGCGTTCGATTATCTTCCGATTCTCACTTGGACCTTGGCGTCACGTCCGAGCTTGAAGTGTATGATTATGTTTGGCATGTCGGACTGTGTGGATTATGATCACGACTATTCCCTCATTTTATGAAAACACTACCACTTCAATTAATATAATTTTGGAAATTTGTACTTAATTTTATGTTATGATTTCTCTTCCGTTACAATCTTAGGGACGTTAACGCCCTTTAAATCAAGTATTTGTTCAGTATTGGCCTCACCACAAAACCGACTACCAGATCCACAGGCAGTGACACGGACATGGGGAGGTATTGCAGTGATACGAGTGACTGAAACTGTCATTTAAAAGACCAAAGTGTCCAAACACAATGAAAACACTTCATATTTCACATCACAGTGGGCATAGTCATCTTGGATTCTGACTCAGAATCCTTGCTCGGTCTCCTTTTTCCGCCACCGAGGTCCATGTTGCCCCGTGTCAGGGGCATGTCAAGGGCCATGTCACATGTTTCACTAGGCAACTTCCTTGGAAAACTGATTCGCAAGGATAATTGAACATAGGGTAAGTCCCTGCTGCTACTGTTCCCTGTGTTGTGCATGCAAGCCTCAGTCTGACAGACCTCTTCAGTGATTGGTGCATCAACTTCAAGCTGCCGCCTGGGTCTCTTCCTGCTCATTGGTGTATTGTCCGAGAGCCTGGCCAATCCTGGGCTTTCACCTGTAGGGTCACACCTATAAAAGTTACTCCGGGCACCCTGTTACTCCGGGCTGCTGTTCTCTCTGTGAACTACAGGCCACGTTTACTGTGTCTCTTGTGCTCTTGTTAAGTTGGTGACTTAGTTTTGAGACTGATTTGTTTTTCTGTTACTGTAATTTATGTACTCTATTTTTGTTAGAGTGGTTAAATATTTAACTATAAGTAGGCTGTTAGAGCTTCTTTTTGAAAATATCCTGTTTTACCTTTACATTCCTTTTAAATAACTTACAACTTGAGTTTTACCATTTTACATCTTGGTTCTTGTGTTACTTCCTCTGTCCCTAGCAGAGCTGGGTCATAACATCAAGTATCACAGGGTCAGGTAGATCGATGCAGCGTCTGCAGTGATGACGTCGTTGTGTCGGACTTATGACGAAGGAGTTCAAAGACAAATAAATTTACTGGTCACTCCCGCCTATGATCCCTGGTTTAGACCTGGTTTTGATCTCTGGTCCTCCTCTCGCTTATGATCATGAGCTTTAGATAATGACCAAAAGAATAAGATGGTGGATACAAGAGGTTCAAATGAGTGTTCCTGAGTGGTTGGGTGCTCCATTAGAGGTAGAGTGAGAAGCTCAGTCACGCGAGTGGAGCTCAGAGAAGAACCAATGCTCCTTCATGTGGAGAAGAGCAGCTGAGGGGAGGGCATCTAACCCTAAACTTAAATATTAACTATATTAAAATACACACAATTTTCCAAGCCAAACACACTAAAATCGATAGATAAATAGATTACAATTTTTTTAGTACAATAGCAGCTAGAACAAATTTGTTTGTCTTGGGACTAAAAGAGTCTGACCAGAGGGAAGCAGCTGAAACTCTGAGTTTAGTGGATGTTGCTCGTCTTTTAAAATCCTCTGGAACGTCCTCTGTAAGTGTCCTGAGTACAGAGAGTCCAGCGGCTCTGAGGATGAACAATCACCTCACTCACCCACTTCACCAAATGATTCACGGAGTTCTTGTTTTTAGCAGGGATGCTCCCAAACCATGAGACCAGTGAAAACGTTCAAACTGATTTCCATAAACCTTTTATAGAACAGTGTCATCATGGCTCTGTCTACATGGTAAAAGGACAATTTCCTCAGACAATGAAGGTGGTGGTGCCTCTTTAACACACAGCAGCACAAACCGTCAAAGCTCAAATATTTACAGGATTCCACACACTCAACTGACTGCCCCTTTATATATGTGATGACATTCTGAGGCTCTCGTTTTTCAAAAGTCAACCCTACTGGGATACTGCTGTTCATGCCGGGGGCCACCTGCCTACTACGCCCTGTCGGGGCTCGGGCCTAACAAGTTCTGTTCAGAGGAACATCAGAATTTAAATCCTGCCCAGATTCTTTGTGGTAAATGTAAGATTGTACAATTGACACTAAATTAAATATTTGTTGGGTTGTAGAGACCGCTTAGGTCCTCACTGCTCTCTATTCGCTCAGTTGGGGTGAAACACTTTTTAACATCTATTGTGTGTGGTCCTTTACATGTATCATGTATGTACCATGTGTACATGTATCATGTATGTACCATGTGTACATGTACATGTACGTGTATGTACCATGTGTACATGTATGTCATGTATGTACCATGTGTACATGTATCATGTATGTACCATGGTGTACATGTATCATGTATGTACCATGTGTACATGTACGTGTATGTACCATGTGTACATGTATCATGTATGTACCATGTGTACATGTATGTGTATGTATGTACCATGTGTACATGTATGTGTACATGTGTATGTACCATGTGTACATGTACGTGTACGTGTATGTACCATGTGTACATGTATCATGTATGTACCATGTGTACATGTACGTGTATGTACCATGTGTGTGTACGTGTATGTACCATGTGTACATGTACGTGTATGTACCATGTGTAGATGTGCATGTACGTGTATGTACCATGTGTACATGTACGTGTATGTACGTGTATGTACCATGTGTGTACATGTATGTACATGTATGTGTATGTACCATGTGTACATGTACGTGTATGTACCATGTGTATGTACATGTGTACGTGTACGTGTATGTACCATGTGTACATGTACGTGTATGTACCATGTGTAGATGTGCATGTACGTGTATGTACCATGTGTACATGTACGTGTATGTACGTGTATGTACCATGTGTATGTACATGTGCATGTGTGCGTGTACGTGTATGTACCATGTTTGTATTAGTCTGTTGGTTCCACCCTCTCCAGACGCGCAGGGATTTAAGTGGAGTGGGGACGCACGCGGGCACGCGCAGAGGGTGTGACGTCACACGCGGACTTGGACATATGCCAGGAGCTGTCAAGGCCGTGGAGCTAACGCTGTGGAGTATATCGCTCTATTGTTGGATCAGTGCGATTTCCACACACGTTGGATCGTTCTCCTCCGCGGGAGCTCTGGCTGTGACAAAGTGCTGAAGCGCGGGTGTCACGAGCAGCATACACACTCTACACACTCACGTAACGCTTGTTACGCAGCGGAGGGAAAACCTTGGGAAGTTTTTGGGACACGTAAAGCCGGATAGGCTGAAAGACTTTATTTTGCACATGTTTGTTTGAGCGCGCTGATGGGAGGACATCCTCCTGTGTCCTTAAATTTGCGTTGTAGCTTTTCATTCGTCAGGTGAACTATTACAGGGTTTTGACAATTCTCATGTCAAAGCTGAAGCATATCTCACTAAAATGAGATTTAGGGACTTGTGATTAGGTTTTAAAAAGTCCAGTACAAAAAGTTGGAATTAATGCCTAATTGTATTTTTATTTTATTATTGATTAATTTAAGGGCTATTTTATTAGATTTTTATTTATTTTTTTTTTTTACATATTGGTCCTGATTCTTCCCAGAATGTGATTGAAGATGAATATTTGTGAGCTGAGCTGAGAGGAGGCAGCGTAGATCCAGAGGCACTTGTGTTGTGGCGCAGCTCGGCACGGGGCCAGGGCGCACGGAGAGGAGCGGGCACTGCGGGCTGCGGTTTCGGTGAGCGCTCTTTTCTTCCGTGTTATCGCCAGGAAAACTTTACAGCAGTCCTTTGCTTTCTGCTTCGTCTTTTCAAACTGTGCAGACTGTGACATTTGACGCGTGCCGCGGTCTCATGGCGGACGAGCGGAAAAAAGAAAAAGACTGGAGACAAACTCCGGAGCCTCCAGGAGCTGCGCGCGGGGGAGGTATGTCAACTTCATGAGATCAAATTTAAGCCAAGAATTACTTTTAAGAATTTAAACAAATTACAGACAATGTTTACAGAGTTTGATCTGAACTTATCCTGAAGAGCAGGTTTGGTAGGAGCGCGGTACATGACTAAACTTGACGGTGGAAAACGGGCCTCATGTTTAATTTAAAGAAAGATTTACTTCCATGGGGAAATAACTGCTAACACATACATATTATTTTATTATTTTATTTATTTATTGTTTCGAAAATGCCAGCTTGTTCGCCAGAAACAACATAGGCTATAGACTTATCACGCTGATACGTAGTACTTCCGCATTCAGTGAGCTTTGTGCACGAATACTTCCAGTGAATTGTCACTCTGTTGATTGAACTGATGATGGACGAACTGAAGTTGTTTACATAGACTACATCCCTTATAAATTTACTGAAAATATCCTTTTCCGACGTACAACATCTCATTGATCAACACTGAATCACAGCCCGCTCCAAAGTGGACAAAGGACACAGTTTATTTTTTTGAAAATTTCACCTATGAAGATGAGTGGCTACTAGCTAACATAACTTTACAGTTGCCGATCCGACAAACCATCGCTCCGATATTGACGTGTTATTGTCAGAGTAGCGGCATTTCCATTTTTTATCAAACGTCCCTGCACTCCGACATTTCTTTATCCTTTGTAGTGGCAGAATCCTGTTGTTGAAGACACCACTGTGCGTAAAGGTCCTGGTACTGCGAGTGCAGCCGAGCAGCAGCTACAAGGGACAGATGTGTAAGAATTTTATGAATGAAGAGGTGACGGGGCGTTACCTGACACTGCAGGTGGAGGCGCGCGGTGACGCGAATTTGGCTCAA